TTAGTTGGAGAAACATCCATGCTGCGGGGGACAGGAATGCTAGCAATACTGCTAGTAGTGATTTCATCATCTCTTAACAAAGGTGTGATCTTGGGGGGAAAAATTGAACTGGGTTTTACATTTGCAGATGCGGACAGAACGTTTCCTGAGAAGCCCGTTTTGCTAAAACTGGCAGGTTGTGCCTTCTTTGCCTTGGTGACTTTGTTTGAAGAACATGGTACCTTCAAATATTAAATTAAAACCAATTTTAAGCTTCTAGGACTGATCTCAAGCACAGGATAGAACAATTAGAGGAAAAATTACAGTTCCAGTGAATGGTACAACATCAAAATTCTAGTGTAATCAAACCCATAAAAAGGAAATTTCACAAATTACAGTGAGGATTACGAAGTAGGGTTCCCTAACCAAATTTCCCACATTCCTTCCATTTCCAAGAATGACGTAAGAACAACAGTACTTTCATCAATTCCTTTCTTCCCTTCCCATGAAAGATGAAACCCTCAAATTTCTTGGGATCACTCCGCAGAAAACCCTCAGCGGATACGGGTAGACATTGCTAAAGATAAAAAAGATCATTACACCATTTTGTGTCCCCATTCTTTACTGCATTTTTCTCAAGAATCGAAAATAGAAGTAGGAAATGATGTAGAATACGGTATACCCACCAAAGCAGAGGACGCAACCGAGCTTCTCGACCCATTCTTTTGGTTGGTGATGTTGGCGAGAGGCGCTCGCTTCTTGGCCCTGGAAGCAGCGGCCTTCCCAGTATTCTCCGACGAAGAGGCTTGTCGCTTAGCCAGAGACGAAGTTGTCGACGACGACAACGACGAACGGCGATTACCCACTGTCGACATTCCGTCCGACCAAAAATCAAACTCAACTTCAAAATTCAATTCCAAGAATCTCACTCTGCACCAGCCAGAGCTGTACTTCGCAAAGTGGGAATCATGAATTGAAGTGCAGACTGCCAAAAGGAAGCAATGGCGCTTGTGTTATATATTATTATTTTATTAAA